TGTATACATGAATTGATGACAATTAACCGAACTTGTTTTTTAAAATAAAGGGGATATCTGTCAAAAATAAACAAAACGTTAAGTTTATCTTATTTGCATAAAATTTGGCATATGGATATAAAATTGCCATAGACACAACTTTTTCAATTAACTTTTTGTTATATTCGTTCTAGAAATGCATTTTTCAATTTTTTTCAAAAAAAAAGTTGAATTTGACAAACAATGAACGTCAGTGGGTCGCAGTTGGCCGCATCATTTCAAGTTAAATTTAAAGCACAAACAAGTGCCAAAGTTAAACTTCATTGAAACATTTCGAAAAAAAAGATTCCCATATGGTGCGCACTTCAATGGCGACAATGGCGACACTTTTATTCTGTTAATCATTTTAAACTCACCAATAACGTTTGCAAGTGCTAAAATTTCGCAGAAATAATATTTGTAGGCCCACCAATTGTGATATCTCAAATTTTCCCACAAATAATCGAGCATTAGCTTCTTCTTTTGTTTCTTTTCGATTTCTGTACAAACCGCTACGTCGAGATCCATCATCAGGGCGTGAATCTTTCCTCCTTCCCACGATTTCCAGAGCCATCTAGGTGTGTAGAACAGAATTGCCTAAAAAAATAAAAGTATCATCATTAGCCATCAAATGACGTTCAGTTAATTGATTTCTCAACATTTATTGCTCTTGTAATAGAACCGTCGAGGATTGAAAGATTTTTGTGAATATAGATAATCAATCACTTAATGTAAATATTTTTATACTCCTTTCCTTCACCGCAAAAATAACGGCAACCTTGAGCTAGTTTGGTGGCGTTCGTTTTGATTGTTTCGTTATTTGTCTAGTGGGTCCGTAAATCATTGGACAGTGAGTGAAATGCAGCGTCTTGATCTTGAACTATATCATTCGTAAATGACGTAAGTACGTGAATAACTACGAATGAAAATTTACAACACCATCTGGTTCACGCCTGAAATGTTTAAAAGTTGAAAAACAACCTCATTCCTTAACCACCATCTCAGTAAAATATATCTGATATAATTTTTGTGTGAAGCACACGCATTTTTTTGAGTTGGCTACTATGTTTTTCTGTCGTTAGTGTTTATCCATTTTCATTAACTTATTACCAAGTTTCTTGAAATTAGATTCAAATTCCATAATTCGTATGCTAACTCAACCTAACCTAACCCGACCTAACCTAACTCAGTCTAACCTTACTTTAGAATTTTAAAAAACTATGTATCCTCAACATCTAACCTGACCTCCATATTCTAAAATGAACGTATTTTCGAATAATGAAACTAATGCAATTTATAAGAAGTGATTTGTATGCACCTGACAAATTATGGAATTTCATTCTGATTTCAGGAAACTCGGCAATAAGAGATTGAAAAGGGATAGAAAAAAGTGCGATGATATGGAAAAAGTTGTGTAAAATTAAAAAATATGTGAATTACAATCGTTTATTGCTTTTAAAAGAAGGTAAAATATGACGTCATACAAATTTGACAGGTTATATCTCGAAAACCAATTGAGTCCGAATAAGAATTGAATATTGTTGCATTAGAGATTGCACTAAAGATAAAAACATATTCAAATATTGTATTGTATTTTGTAATTGTAACAGTGAATAAGAGAAACCGCGGTCGGTAACAGGAGTCTCTAATAGGCTGGTCGAGTCCCCATTTTGTTGCAGGTAGCGTGGTTGTACTAGATGGCTGGGAGGTCTGTTGGACGAGAGTATAAGAAGTAGAGGCCTCGTAAATTCTAGTCAATACAATACGATGTCCAAGCCTGTCATCATGTATGCTTCAGGCGCTTGAGGAAAAACCGCCCCGTCAAACCTCTCCATTTTGGAAAGGTTGCAAAACAAACTAATCAAGATGCTGGTCAATACTCCACAGTTCGTGCGTAATGAAGCCATCCGCAGATATTTGAAGCTGTTAACTATACGGCAGTCCATTCAGTCGAGGAATCAGGGAGTTTTCGAGTCAGCGGAAACTCATGATAACCCATCAGTCAGAGAAGCTGTAGATTACACTATAGAGGACCCCACTCTATTCAGAAGACACCTTCGCTTGGTTGAGTGAAGGCCCCACGACGTGTGTCAAAATGAACAGTTTGTTCATCAAATACCCCAGTCAGGAAGGGGTACACAAGGCCAGAGCGGCATAGATGTCACTGACTTTTATGTCGCCACGAAAACACCTTACGTTAGGGACAATTTCTAACCTGAAGAAAATGAAGATGACACGAACATTTTAGTCAGTTAGGTTGGAGAGTTTGGTTTCATTTTTCTATGTAATTTCTCAATTAAATTAATTGGTTGATTCAAACTTGAAGCTTCATACTTCACTTCGTTCGCTCAATTTGAATGGAGCGAATCACACTGATGAGTGTACTGATGATTTTTCTTCAAAATGTGTATGTGCTTAGTATGTGCTTAGTATACATTTAAATTTATCTAAGCATGCTGAAGTCGGAAAGCCTAATAAGTAAGTTGGTATTGTAGTCAGTAATTTAGGTTCGATTTCTTCGAATTATATAAGTTTTTTGGTAATATATATTGATTATCGTTTGGTGATCTGACAGGAACTAGGGATTTTGTATTTGATCTGAGGGGGGGGGGCCCTATCAATCGCGGGGCCCAAAGTGCCCATTGGGAAAAAAAGGCTGCACTTATCCAGAAATGAGCCTCATCGCTGAAGATGATTTTTCGATAAAAATTCGGGTCAGTTGCCAACCGCTCCAGAGCCCATTTAGCGAGCACACGTCGTTTACCTTCAGTTCCTGGGTCAGATGAATTTTGTTCCGGTGCAAGAAGTTGAATGCAATTAATTTTACATATGGCCGTTATCGATTGTCAAAGTTCGGAGGTTCCTGCTGGAAAAGTCTATTGCTTCAAAGAAGGCAAAATCCTAGAAAAAAATGATTTCAACCAACTTAAAGCATTTTCAAAACAGAAAAAACTTTTGCCGTCAATATAATCTGGGTTTCGGACAGGATGTAATGGAACTACAGCTCTAGCTCACATCACAAATGATCTTCCAAAAAAAAAATGGTGAATTGTAGTGAATTGAGACTGTTATTATCTTTTGTATATTCAGCTGATTTTCACAAACATGTTGAATTTTGAAAATCCCATCAATATGTGGATGAAGTGCAATGCATTAATTTTTTTTAAATCGAAGATGCACACGTAAACCCAAAAAAACTGGAGTCTGACTTCCACTACATGGCTGTTTTTGTTGAGTCAAATTATCCTGAACTTAATGCAGAAGAGAATGAGATGGTTGTATTTGGTAGAGATGAGGTTGCAATTAAACAGAATCCTCTCTTCATAACTGAAGTCAACGATGTTAAAGAGCTGTTTTTTTTTTTATTTCAAAACCAAGTTTTTTGGGCATGTTGAAACATTTATTTTACAGAAACTAACTTTCTACAACAATTAATACTTGAAATATTTGGAAAATTTGTTGAGTAATAACTCTCCCAAAAACAAAATCAGGCAACATCAATAAACACAGTTATACCATACAAATACATTTTTTTAGTAAGTAATACCAGAACTGTTTTTCAAGTTGCAACATAATATTGGAATCAGCAACCCTTTGTAGAAGTGATCATACTATTAATTCAAGTAGTTAGGATTAAGATAGTAACACGCATACATTTTCATAAGGAAACACTTTGAACCGAACTTTCCCACTAACGAGATTTGGATTTTGAAATTGACGTCAAACCGTTTGGAATCACTGAGCTTATCTGAATGAGGTTAAACTGGGAAGCAATTTTTTTGAAAATGTATTTCGATTTGATGCTATTTTGATACCTTCATTCCTGAGCAATCTTTGCAGAAGGCATTTATGGTGCCATTCAATTATTTTAATGGAAATGCATTTCTGCAATAAATGTTGAATATTTCATATTAACCATCATAAATTTTCGATTCTGGTTTGATTTACAATCACGATATTATCGATATTTCAAATTCACCATTGAAATTCGTAGCGTTCCACATTAGACTAATTCTCTGAGAGAACTTTCACATGTGAGTATACATCAGGAATAGAACGAAATATTTTGAATAAGTGCTCGTGTTTTACTAATAATATACACTCGACCATAAATATAAGATTTTGCTAACAGCAATAAAAGCTGTAGTAACAGTAGAATCACATGCATAAAATAACATCTAGGTCGTGGTTTTAGAATAAACTCTTGCACTGACTGATGAACATTGAACTGTTCCTTGATATCGAAATGGCGAAAATAAAATATATTGTTTGAATTGACAGGGAGGGGTAAATATACAGGGTGTCAATTTGAAAAATTCCCTCCCTAAATATCTTCCTTCCAGGAATATTTGTAGCCCCCGTGATTCAACCCCCAAGGAGCGGTAGATGCTACCTTTATAATATTAAATGGCCAATCAACCGCAGTTGTCAGTTGATTGGTCAGTGGCCACTTATGTCTCGCTTAACATAAAAGCTCGAACCAATAAAACAATTCGATGATGTGAAACATAACAATTAAAAAAGAAATTCCGAAAATTCATAGAGTACGTGATGTAATATATATTGTGATTGTGTGAAGACTCTAATCTTTCTTTCTTTTATTTTGATATTTTTGGAATCCATCAGAAAAATAAATTTCCAGTACTTATTTCTTTTTCCAGCGAGGAACGAATTGAGATATGCAAATGACTGCTATAACGATTAGGATATCATTGTCACAGATGAAACATACGAGTATAACCGTTCATATCATTCATCGTTATGCATATGTAACAAGACAGCGAAAAAATCCCTCTGTGGCATCGGGCCAATAACACCCGTACATTGGATCATTGACCGTACATGTTCTCTTAATAAACTGAAAATATATAAACATTCTGTATTCGACTCGGATTTATCACGCAAGGTAACATTACACAGAAACGCATTTATTTACATTAAATTGAAAATATAGGTTTCGAGGCCATATTTTATTCGTCAGGAATCGTATTTTAATTACTTTTTAAGCTTCGGAAAACGGCTTGTTTCAGTTTTTCGTTTGGCTTTTATTTTCAGGAACAACAGGAAATCGTTAGATGCAATCATCAAAGTGTAACAGCCACGAAAATAAAAGATACCTAAATTTCGGTAATCAGTGGAAATGTTTCATCGCAGGCTTTTCAGAGATCATTGTTGAATCTGAAGTTAAAACTGTAGAAACTTATTCACAGTTATTTACTTTCGATACTATCACCTTCTTCTATATATACTCCTCCATTCGTAATATTTTCCTCTCCCATCTTTCCAATTTTTCTTCTTCACACTTCTTTAGAACCTACGTGTCGCATGCATATATCGCTGTTGTTCAAATTACTGACTTATATAATCTCTTCTCAGCTTTTCTTGTCAATCATTTCGACTTTTGAGGTTCTTACATTCCATGTTTTCTATTTCCTTTCAGGATTATTGCGTTTAATTTTCGATATTCGTTTCCTCTCACTTTCACCTTTGAGGTGGTACCCGGCCCAACAAAAAAACACAAAAATCTTGGAAAACACAGTATTTATTTTTTCCAACGACGTTCAAAAAGTTCGATACCGTGTTATAATAAGAACTGT